ACATTACATTTTGCAGATTTGTGACATTTATCAGAAATATTTTATTTTTTTTTAGTTTATGAAATAATTTAATAATAATTCTGTGTTTATTGGTATTATTTTATTTCTTTAATATCCATATTTATTAGTGTTAGAGCAACTTTAGGGTTATTTCATTATAAAAAGACTTCTAGAAAGAATTGTTTTTACATAATATATTATAATATGTTAGATAAAAACCTAGGACTGAATTTCTAATTATTAAAATTATGTTTATTTTGTATTGTAGTTTTGTAATAAAGATATTAAAATTAATAAATTTCAGCTCTTTAACCCTAAAAATGCGTTTTAGTAATTACAAATAAAGTTCTAACGCAGAGGGCAGTGGGTTGTCGACATTTGGGTTTGAGGGCATGTGAGGCAAGCCTAATCGATGTTTTTTTAAAAAAGTTCGAATCGATCCGCCTTAAATTGGCTAAGTTTTATCAAATTAAAATTGCCAGTTTAAAACCTGTGAACATTTTTTTCGGATTAGGTACGAAAATATGGTTGCACAAAAACATATTTTTGTGTTTTTTTGGTGCGTTTTCTTACAGTATACAATAATATTTAGCAATAGTTCAAATAATATTTTACGATTTGTGCGTAGAAACCAATGTACAACAACATGTTTTTCTACGGCTGTGTCGCTCTTTTCGATACAGGGTGTCCCGTCAGGTTTTAACAACCCCTTGAATTTAGATTGAAAACACTTCAGGCTATGATGCACAAAATATATTTTATCAAGCAAATGTATAATGGTCATTGTAAGACTAGGAACAAATAAACTTAGATTAGACTTAAATGTATTTCGATAACAAAATTACTACACTAGTTAACAATTGTATACTATGTAAAACGCGTGTATAAAATGTTCACAAAAACAAAACGGACCTAATTCTACAACATTGATTAGTCAAAACTTCTCCACATAAAGTTAATAACAATATATAATAACCTATAGAGAAATGACTGAATGTTCATAAAATGTTAAAATATGTTAAATCAAGACATATTATATTAAATAGAATTCACGTTGTTTGTCTTCCATATCATAAAATACTAATTACTCGAAGTAAAAGATGAAGGTTTTTTTGGTCCCTTTTTTTTAAAAAATAAAATAAAACACCCAGTTGCCGTTTAACTTCCTGAAGTAATTCTTTTATGTTAAATCTATTTTATTATTTTTGCGGTATATCATAAAATCTGAATCAGTGGCGACAAACTAAAATGTATAAGAAAGGGCAAAAAAATATTATGGACACCTACCTCAAGGTAAAAAACATCATGGTCGAGTTTATTTTCATGACTTACTGGCCACCAATTTGGATTTTTTCATAGGAGTTCGAAACCAGAAAATTGGCTTTTCGGGTTTATAGAATAGCCTTATTTATTTTCTATTAATAGTTAATAGTCCTAGGCTTCATAAAAGACGAATAAGATAAACGAAATAATTTGAATATGAGAAGATGATTTATAGTTATTAAAATATACTGATGGGGTACTCTGTATCGATACGATATAAGCGATGAAAATAATGGTTTTGTGCATTTGTTCTTTCGTACAACCGATAAGGTATTGTTTAAAGTTTTTTATATGTCAGCATACCACATTGCCTTATACACTAAAGAAACTACTTAACATCACCAAAAACAATAATATGAAGACTAGGTCAAATTTCAAGTTTGAAAATCCATAATAGTCTTTGAAGTTTACAAATTTAGTATTAGAGCCAATATTTAAGTTATTTCATTATAAAATTGTAATATGACATTAGATAATATCCTCGAACTGAATTTCAAATTGAATCAGTCATTTCAAAAACGATATAAGTCAATGATTTTTCAAAGATGACTTATTGTCAAATTTGGTTTGAAAATATGGTCGCACAAAAACGTATTTTTCCATGTTTGTGTTTTGATTTTTTACTGTAGTCAGTAAAAAAAGGTTTTTCAGCATTAGTTCAAATAATATTAAACAATTTTTGCAAAGAAACCAATGTACAACAATACGTTTTTCTAAGCTTGTGTGCTATTATCGATACAGGGTGTCCCGTCAGGGTTTAACAACGCCTTCTTGAATATAGATTAAGAATACTTCAAATTTTCATCAATTTCAAATGAGTATTACTAAATCTTTTTTAAAAACTATTCTTAATAAAATGGTTATCTTGAAAATAAAACAAAAACGTAACAAAAAAAAAATTATATAAAAAGTAAAACAGCTAAGTGCAATAAAAACCGTGGTGCTTATAGCGTACATGAGTATAAATTATTAAAAAAAAAAAATCTTAAAAATATTCAATTAAATAAAAGTCATTTCATTTGTCAAATCTTCGAGGGCCACACTGTATATTTCTTCTGTCCGTGTGGAAGTATTCAAACTCCTCCTAAACAGTTGGGCAGATTTTTATGAAATTTTGTGTGCGCGATTAAGTTGATTCGAGAAAGGTTTAGATTCACAATTTGATCCAATCAACATCAGCGTTCTGGGGGTCTGTTCTTGAAACCATTAAACAATTATTCGTATATTTATTATAAAATTAATTGCATCATAGTTTGTATATACACCTAGAAACCAAGGAATATAAGGCAACATTTTATTGAAAATTTTGATCCATATGTGTGTATAGCCTACCACAGTTTATAAAACAATTGTCTTATACCCCTTGGTTCTTAGTGTCCTCAATTAATATGTTTATTGAGGTTAAATATAAATATTATAATTACAAAATGTAAAAAAACTTTTTGTTTGGAACACAGAACTTCAATAGTTATTAGAATAAAGGTAAAACTATTTAATACAGAAGTTGTATTAAAATAACTGTAGTTGTTAAAGTTTGCCTATGATAACAATTAGTTTCAACCAAATTTTAAAAAAAATTGGGTTAGGTTCATCATTTGGGAATTTGGTACAAGTAAATAGTAATAGTACAAGCAGATGGCGCCTCATCCAGAGAAATTAGGCGCCGTGTTATACTCGGGAGGGAAGCAGTCGCAGGCTTATACCAATTTTGAAAGACAGCCAAATATCTGCTGCTTAAGGCACTTATCTTTTCAGTGATGCTTTATATATATATATATATATATATATATATATATATATATATATATATATGGACACTCAAAGTGGAAGATGTAATACGTATAAACTCCTTAAAGATGTATAGGTCCCCTATAATTATAATTTAATTTTTTTGATTGTCCCGGAATTTGTAAGTCAAATTTTACTAATACCTTTTGACCGGGTGTGTAACTAACTGTTTTGTGTGTTCTATCGTAGTATTCTTTTTGTATCTTTTGTTCTTTTTCTATTAATTTTGGTGTTTCTTACATAATCTTTTGTAGTTGTTTGAGAGATTCTAGTCTATCAAAATTCGTATCTTCAGGTCAGATCTTATTTTCTAAAGGTTGATTTGCTTCTACTCCGAACACAAAAAAAATGGAGAAAAAAACAGGTAAATTATACAAATTCAATATAAAAATGTATTTTAGTCGTATGCGACGATTTCCATACATTTAAAGATAGTGAAAATTTTAATTTTAAACTGTGAGTACTTTACAAAATTTAAATATTGATAACACAAAGTAAAATAATTGTAGTGATAAGTTTCAGCGACGAATAGATAGTATAGAATAACATTTATAATAGATACAATACTTCCCTGTTTACTGCCGATAAAAGTATTTAACTAATAAAATAATAATAAATTAACAATTATTTAACAATAAATTCAAAAATTACAAATATTGCTATTCTTTAAATATTAAATTAAAAAAATGAAATAAAAACAATTATAATTATAATTAATTTAAAATTTTTCAAACTCTACAACACTGATTTTAAGTATTTTTTTAACAGTCCAACAAAACTTTACTTGATTTACTGAATTCTGACGTCTAAAACTTTTTCATTTATGCAACTTAAGTAAAATATTTTGGGTGGTAGGTTCGTGGTTTGATTTGATCCAATCCCTTTTTGATCAATCAAGTATACTATGTATACTTGGTAGGTATGTACATTGAAAATGATATAGAAACATGTAACATATTCTAGAAAAAACTTAAGCACTTATGGTTATATGTAATAAAATAAAAATAAAAACCCTTAACCATAAAAATTATATACTCTCCGCGAATACGTCGTATTTCGGCAACAATGTTGTCATCTTCGGCGCTCACGGCAGACTTTATTCGCGGAGAGTCTATAATTTTTATGGTTAAGGGTTTTTATTATTATTTTATATATCATATTGTTAAATATTAGAATAGAGGTCATAAAAAATTTGAGCAACATTTAAAAATCATATAACATAAATAAAATCTCAAATGCCTTCCACATTTTTATTTAAAATGGTATACATAAAAAACAAATACAAGTAGAATTAAAAATACCTAGTTGATTTAATATTAAATAGTATAATTTTTTTATTTGTATAATATGGATAGTAAATTAAAATCATAATAATTGGTTTTTGAAACATCATTGATAATGAAAATAAAAAATATTGAGTAGAACTTACTGAAATTGTTTACTGTTTTAGAACCAAATTTAAATACACTTTTTTTTGTTATTTACTTAATTATACACAACGAAACAAAAAATTTTTGATATTCATAAAACATGTATTACGAAGTGTTTTGTTTCTCAGGGTATTATTATTAGATTTCAATATTGTATATTAGGATGTATAGTCAACGCAAATATCTTAAATTAAAAAAATTAAATGTTATGGATTGGAAAATGTTTTAGAGTACAAAAAAGCACTGGGTTCTATGTACATTAGTTATGACGAATATGTATTTTTTTAAAGTTATTTAACACCTTTTCATATATTATAATGGTTATTATTACTAAAAATAACAAATAAATATGTATCTTAATTAAAAAATATCTAAATACTATAAATGATCTATTACGTTCTTAGTTCTATTTTAACATAACATCCGTTGATAAATTCCAGTGCTATGGTACACGACAATTTAAGATCCTTCGGAGTAAAGCATTTTTTTGATGGCGAAAAACGGTAGGACCTTACAAGAGTAGATATCGCAGTCTTCATTTGAAGCATTGCGTATTTCATTCCAATACAGTTTCTTGTGCCACCACTAAAAGGAATGTAAGTATAAGGATGACGACTGCGACATACGTCAGGTAAGAAGTTGTCAGGATTAAATTTTTCTGGATCCTTATAGCTTTGTGGATTTAAATGCAAACAATAAATGGGAAACGCAATAATTGTGTCTGTAACAAAATAATATTTGACAACTATTAATAAGGTTCTGTGAAGACATGTAATTTAAAAACATTTATTTTTTATTTTTAATAGGTTCTACCCGCCGGGATTAGATATTTTCCAATCATCATTTCGTTTTCTACTTGTCTGAGCACTAGAGGAACAGCTGGATAAAGTCGCATGGTTTCTTTGATAACGCGTTTTAAGTATTCCTTTTTTTGTAAATCCTCGTATGTAGGCGGTCTGTTTAAATTACCATCCGAAAATATTGAATTTATTTCTTGATATTCCTAGGGTCAAATATGATTAAATAATTTTAATTTTTAATAAATATGGAATTGTAACTTATTACAGAAATAATTACAATTTGTTGAACATCTTGATGATGAGCCAGCATAAATATAATTAATGAATTTGCTTTTGCAGTTGTTTCATGTCCCGCTTAAACAGAATTTTGGAAATAGTGCTTCTTATTGTAAGTAAAAAAATTATTTTTGGGGGTAGGGTTTTGATTTTGCGCTAACAACAGACTGGCTCAGTCTTAATAATACTATTTATTTGTTATTCATTAATTTTTATATTGAAAATTATTTTCTACTTTTCAGTTTATTTTACTACTTAAGCGTGTTTTTTAGTTATTTTAAACTATATTTTTTTATTTTCCACTTTTTAGTTCGATGTGCTTTAAAATTGTGTTTTTTTATTCTAGTACATATTTAATTCTAGTACATACGTGTCTCTATTACTTAAAAACTTCAGGTAAACAACAATGAATACACGCATGTACGTTCGGTTGCCTATCTCTTTTAGTTACATAGTTATATAGTAACATACAAACATACAAACATACAAACATACAAACATACAAACATACATACATACATACATACAAGTGAAGCTAATATAAGCGTGTTAAAAATAGATAGTATTATTGTGAAAAAAGTGTGGGGCGCTTTTCAAGAACTGATATATGTAGCACCCCACGCTTTTTTCACATTAATACTTTTATTTTTTATTAATTGATTTCTATATTGAAAATTATTTTCTACTTTTTAGTTTATTTTACTATTTAAGCGTGTTTCTTAGTTTTTTTTTTTTATCCTTAGAATAATTACTACCGGTGTAACTAGACTAAGTATAATAAATTGAAAATAAGTCATATTATAAATCTGAAAATTAAGCAAAATATGAATTAGAAACATTTAACTTACAGTGTTTTATGGCTCAAATCAATCTAAATTGCTGATGAATTCATATAGTTATACAGTGTGTACTTTTCAATGATATTTTGGTTCCACGGTTAACTACATAAAGTACTATACATTAAGTGTATTTAATTTTTGGTAGTAAAACTTACTTGTTGAAATACGAAAACCATGTTTTCGGTGCTGATGAAATTATATAGTTGTACAGTGTGTAAGTTTTAAACACAAATAGTACATTTCTGATAATCTGGTTCCTTATTTAAGTTTTTCTTGGAATTTAATTTAGTGTACATATTATTATGTCAAATAGTTTTTATTCCTACGGTTTCTCTTCGATAATAATTCTACAATAATTAAAAATATATAATAATTTATTAATTTTTAATATAAATGCAAATATTTTATACAAAATTTAATATTTTTCATTAATTTTTTTTCACATAATTAAATTTTTACTTTTAACTTCAAAATTTAACGAAACATATCATATAAAATTTAAATATAATATGTTTCGTTAAATTTTATTAACTTGAAACAATTGTTTTAATTAAATTTGGAAACTAGTGTTTGACAATCATTTATTTAAAACTGCCTAGTAGGAAATTTTTACATAATTAAATTATACATTTTTTAATTATTTTACCAAGCTAAAAAACGTTACGTAATAATACACAATAAACAACTTAACCTCTGAGAAGTGGTGCCTTTGAGAATCTCGTTGGCGGTTGAGCAGCGGTGTTAACACCGCTTCCTATTATGGCCCAAGAAAACATATTTTATTTTTTTACCTACTATGTTGATAATCTATCAACTAAAGAACAGGAAAATATACACAAGGTTGACCTCACATGTTTAAATGCATTGCATTCAGTAAAGGCGTAAAGGACTAAGGCGACAAATAATGGTCGTAAGATAATCTCAAATTTGAAGAACCATAATACATACACAATTATGTTTATTTTTTTTTTAAATAGTGTGAAATTGTAATTCTATTAATTTATTATTGTGTGTTAGTAATTTATGCAATAAGTTAAAGAAAGTTATTCCATTAGAATTAGCTGTAAACGTAATATTTTATTATGTTATGCATGTTGATATAATTATATCATATGGAATTACAAATATTTTATTAAAACTTAAAGTTTTCTATTATTTTTATTAATATACGCATTTATAATTTGTATATATATTTATACAGGTTGAAAATAGGTAGTTCAAGAAATTAATTCAATTTTTTCGGAAATTTACAAAAAAATGGTAAACCTATAAAATGTGTTTTAATAAAACAAACGATTTCATGTAGTTGCAACCCTGGTAGCCAAGAAAGTAGAAAATGAAACGACGATAGGAAAAAAAATTACACAGCCATTCATTTGATCGTATTCTTGTTATTTCAGCGCTTACTCTTATTACATTGAAGTATCAGAGGATATGAACAATTGGCTCCGTGTAGTTGATCATTCAAGTTATGACTGTCGTAACACTCAACGTTTGTGGATTAACCGAATATATGTTAGGTACATCCGTGTTGTTGGCACCAAAAATACTGTTAATAAGACTTTTAAATTTTTAAAAGTCATGTACAATACGGACAATATGCACTTGGTGGAAATAAAAAACGGATTAGTTGGTAAGGACAACACGAAAATAACTCGTTCTTTGAATAATATAAAAAAAAAACTTATTTATCTAATTAACTGATTTTTATCTATTAGCTCCAAAGTACAATGTTGCTTTATCATCTATGGATACGGCTGTAACCGAAGGTTATTTTTTTGGCAAAAGAATGGCCCCGTTGTCCCAAAAGATGAGAGAAAGCATTTTGGATGATGACTATAAAAACTACGATGGGGATCTTGGATATACATATCATTTCCTGGTATCGGGAGAATGTATAGAGGTTCAACTCGCCCAACCGTATGTGCTCAGTTCAATGAGGTAATCGTTTACAGAATATTTACTTTTTACTTTGGTATCTATTATTTAACTATAATATTTTTGGTGTCTGAAGTATATTTTAAAATAATTTTAGGTTAACTGTGGCAATAAGATTAAGATTATATCAGTATTGTCATTATTTATAGGATGCTGCTTTGGGACCGCGATAGCCGAACCTACAATTACACTGTTCAAGTTTCAGTCAATCGTAAAGATTGGGACATAATAATAGATAAATCTAAAAAATCGGCACGATCGTGGCAGTTGTTGCTATTTGAACAAAGGCCGGTAGTGTATATACGTATTACTGGCGTTCGCCTAACGACGCCAACGATAATTAGAAACGATGAAAAAGTAAAATAATTGAGCTAAGATTGTTTTTAGACATTGTTAAAAAACTTTTTTTTTCGTAGACTTTTAGGATAGTGTATTTGGAGGCACCCGCTCAAGTATCGCTAGATTCCAAAGTCACAAAACCGTGGAAGTCGATATGGCAGCTTTTAAATTGGAAATAGCGCCACCATTTGTCCGAAGGCCAACTTCTACATGGAACTAATGGGGTTTTATACATATTATTATTATGGGTTACAGTCAATTGTATTGCTTGATAAATATATATATATATATATATTTAATTTAATATAAAATTTAAGTATATACCCTTTTAAGATATTTGCGTTAACTAAACATCCTAATAAACAATATTGAAAACCAATAAAAATACACTGAGAAACAAAACACTTCGTACTACATGTTTCATGAATATCATAGAGTTTTATTTCTTTGTGTATTATTATGTTAATAACAAAAAAAAGTGCCTTTATATTTGGTTTTAAAACAGTAAACAATTTCAGTAAATTCTACTGAATTGGAAAATATCTAAGTACTATAAACTACTCATTACGTTCTTGATTCTATTTTAACGTAACATCCGTTAATAAATTCCAGTGATATGGTACACGATAGTTTAAGATTTTGCGGAGTAGGGCATTTCTTTGATGGCGAAAAACGGTAGAACCTTACAAGTGTAGATATCGCAGTCTTCATTTGGAGCATTGCGTATTTCATTCCAATACAGTTTCTTGTGCCACCACTAAAAGGAATGTACGCATAAGGATGACGACTGCGACAAACGTCAGGTAAAAAATTGTCAGGATTAAATTTTTCTGGATCCTTATAGCTTTGTGGATTTGAATGCAAACAATAAATCGGAATCGCAATAATTGTGTCTGTAACATAATAATATTTGACAACTATTAATAAGGTTCTGTGAAGACATGTAATTTAAAAACATTTATTTTTTATTTTTAATAGGTTCTACCGGCCGGGATTAGATATTTTCCAATCATCATTTCGTTTTTTACTTGTCTGAGCACTATAGGAACAGCTGAATAAAGTCGCATGGTTTCTTTGATCACGCGTTCTAAGTATTCCATTTTTTGTAAATCCTCGTATGTAGGCGGTCGGCTTAAATCACCATTCAAAAATATTGAATTTATTTCTTGATATTCCTAGGGTCAAATAAAATAAAATAATTTTAATTTTTGATAAATATTGAATTGTAATTTATTACAGAAATAATTACATTTTGTTGAACATCTTGATGATGAGCCAGCATAAATATAATTAATGAATTTGCTTTTGCAGTTGTTTCATGTCCCGCTTAAACAAAAATTTGGAAATAGTGCTTCTTATTGTAAGTAAAAAAATTATTTTTGGGGGTAGGGTTTTGATTTTGAAGAGAATGAGATAAGTTGTTTCCTTATTTGTTATTATAAGAAGAACATATGTTGTATTCAAAAGTTTTACAAGTATAATAACAGAAACATAACAATAAATATTGCATCAATGAAATACCAATATTTTTAACTAAAAAAAAAAAGCTTGAACACATTGCTAAATTTTACCTTTTACCGCAATAGAATTTAAATATATTGTTTACCACTTATAATGGTTATAAGTTCGTCCTCCATTTCTTTATGTGATATTTGATGTTCGTTTGCTAACAGAATTTCAATTAGAGATTTAGGCTTTTGATAATTACAATCTTCGTCACGACACCCGTTAATCATAGTTATTGCTTTTTCATTAAGTTCGACTTTTTTCTTCTGGATTAAACCATTTACAAATTTATGCATTAAATGTTGACTATTTCGTTGTTCATGTTTTTTCGATGACAGCGAAAACCAACTCGAAATTAAAAACCACGGATTCGAAATTCTGTATGCAAAGATCTAAAATAAAACAATAAAAACAATAAACTGCATAACAGATATTAAATTACAACATTGCGGGAGCATAATAATATTTTCCCAGTCTCGCGTGATCTAGTGAGGCAGTTAAAAAAAAACTACTGCTAGACGTGCATAACTATTTCGGAAATCATGGTTTTCTTTGTTTTGTAAGTTACATTTTTCTCCCAACACTGTTCTTCCAATAGTGTCCATCGATGCTAGTTCGAATGCATAGCTTATTTCACATTCAAATGAACTGCTTTTACTATTTTCACTCAATATGTGTTCGAGAATTTTGGATTCTTCGTAGAATAAAGTAATTAATGATTTTAAATTTGAATACTTTAGCCATTGATTTATAATTTTCCTAAATAATGTACGTTTTATTAATTATTCACCTCCTTTAAATAGGAACAGTTTGATTCATTAGTTTCTTATAAAATATTTATAATCATGATATTATATAATATATCATATATAGAAGGAGTGGCTGAGTGGGTAAGGCGACAGTGTGTTAACGCTCACTGTCGCCGGTTCGACATCTCATGATGGCAGCTTCGGCCCTGCATGGCCCGTTCAGCTACATGATGATAATGATTATATATATTTATAAATTACAATATTTTACCTGTTTTTTCTATAGTCATGAACATTGTTAGTTGTAATTAGCCCCTTAGCCGAGAAAACATCTTCAATTAACGAATAAGGTATATCCTTTTGAAAACAATTGACACTATTCAATACTATATCTATATCTTTAGCGTTGGATATACCAACAATCAGTTTGTTAAACGACCAAAATTTAAATAATGTATGCTCGTACCTTTAACATATAGATCTCGTTTTATAATTTGTCTATAAATACTTATATTATATATTTAAACAGTTAACATAAAAATCACAACCAAAGATTCCTGCATTTAATCCAATTTTAATATATTCTACCTTAAAGTTCTGTAGCATGTATGTGTTTCTAAAGACATTTGTGTTAATATTTTGGGCCACAGTAAAAAACTAACTATTCCCGAATTGATGATCACATTTCGTTGAAAAAATCGTGATGATATTCATTGGTTCAAGGCTACATTATCCCACAAAATGTATGCAAGTAAACTAAGAGTATTTTTTTTTTTGTATAATGATAAGCTGGTCTTACTGCATTGTCTTTATAGTATTCAACAAATTGGATGAGACACGTATCAATTGTTTAATAACTTAAAAATGTTTTCGGTAACTAGACCACATCATACCACAAAACTTGACATGTTTATTTACGATTACTTACTTCTTGCATAATAGTTTCACATTCTCTAAAAACTTTTCTAGTTCTCGATTTATAACCGTTGGACTTCCAACAAGAAAAATACCTTTTGGACCAGGTATTTGAGCAGTCAAAGTAATTTGCCTTCGGTTTTTTATCCTTTGAATAATTACTACCGATGTAACTAACACAAGTGTAAATATAATGAATTGAAAATAAATCATATTATAAATCTGAAAATTTAGCAAAATATGAATTAAAAACATTTAGCTTACGATACTTTTTGGCTCAAATCAATCTAAATTGCTGATGAATTTATAAAGTTATATAGTGTGTACTTTATAATGATACAATGGCATCACTGTTGTAAGCTTTAAAACAAATAGTACACTTTTGAAATTTTGGTTTCTTATATAAGTTTTTCTTGGAGTTTAATTTAGCGTACCTTAATATATATATCTCTATGAATGTTGTATACATATATATAGTATTATTATAGAAAAACTCTTTATTCCATCTATGATGAGCGAAATATATATATTTATATAAGTAAGTATATAAGTTATCCTAAATTCAATTTAATATGCTTGTAAAGGTTAACTACATAAAGTACCAAAACATAAAATGTATTTAACGTTTTTAGTAAAACTTACTTGTTGACATGGAAAATTCATGTTTTTAGTTGGTGATGAAATTTTTTAGTTTTATACTCGTAGTGTGTACTTTAAAATTATATCATGGTTTCACTGTTGTAAGTCTTAAACACAAATGGTAAACTTCTGATATTCTTGTTCCTTATATACATTTTTCTTAAAAATTTAATTTAGTGTATATATTATACCTATTAATTTTTATTTCAATTGTTTCTTTTCAATTCAGACATTAATTAAAAGTATACAATAATTTGATTATTTTTAATATAAATGCAAATATTTTATACTAAATTTAATGTAGTATTCTTCATTAAATTTTTTTCACATAATGAATTTGTACATTAAACTTTCTTATAGCGGGGAATTTTAATAACGCATTATGAATTTAATTTTTATATTATTTTACAAGAATATAAAGCTTAGAACATCTATAATCCGGCCAAGTAAATAAAAATTATAAAAATTTCATTCAATATATTATGATACAAATTACTTACTCGAAAGGAGCATCCATGTTACATAAACAGCGTCGAAGTACAAACAAAATGGTAAAATATCTCGTAATAGATGAAAATATTAATAAATGTCGTTAGTGGGATTTAATCTTTACATATAAATAAAGCTAACAAACCGTAATAGTCACGATAAGTATATTTCCAATTACACAAGAAACTTCCAAGAAATTTTAAATTCCGGAAAATAGGTCTATTACCGTTGCCAAATGGCATCACATGGCGCTAATGGGTTAATATTATTTAAAGGTTGAACATATAACCAAAAAAAAATATAGCAACCTATATTTAAATCAATTAATTTTAACTTATTGATCATCCATCAAAATATTAACTAAATATTAACTATTTTTGTAAGCGTTGTATAGATTTTTAAGTTGTGTTGAAAAGTTTTATTTTAAAATAATAATTACCCATTCACAAATATTTGTACCTAACATTTCAAATGTTTCTTTTTCTTCAATAATCTATTTTAAAAAAATTAATGATTTATGTTATCCACAAAAAAAAAATCTTCCTACAACTGTATGTATAATAATTCCAACTCTGTTCATAATTTAATATATCAGTTTGAGGTTACCTATGTTAAACGGGTTTTTACAGTTGATTGATTGAATAATTTGTTAGTTTAACAAAAATAGACTCCTAATAACTTATTTTAAGTTTTACAATTCTTAGCATTTTCTTGATTGTTTTTATAGATAATATTTAATTTAGTTTAACATGAATTGACCTTGCCCGATATTATGATTTTATCATTTATGATACATTTGGTCTTGCAGTTTTAAATGATTGTACTTTTGATTTTGATACATAACAGTACATAACAATTTATTTTTTTATTAATTACTTAAATAAAACACACCTAAACATTTTAAATTACAAGCTATTATGTTCTCGGTTCTATTTTAACGTAACATCCATTGATAAATTCCACTGATGTAGTAAAAGATAATTTGAGATCCTTCTGCGTAAGGCATTTTTCCGATGGCGAAAACCGATAGGACCTTACAAGAGTAGATATCGTAGTCTTCATTTGAAGCATTGTGTATTTCATTCCAACACAGTTCCTTGAGCCACCACTAAAAGGAATGTACGCAAAAGGATGACGACTGCGACACACGTCAGGATTAAATTGTTCTGGATCCTTATAGTACTTGGGATTTGAATGCAAACAATGAATACAAATCAGAATAATTGCGTCTATAAAATAATAATATTCGATTATTATAACTTCATCACCATTTAGCTACGAAATTTAAAAAAAAAATTTTTTTATTCTACCTGTCGGGACAACATATTTCCCAATCATCATTTCGTTTTCTACTTTTCTGGCAATTAGGGGTACAGTTGTATGAAGTCGCATGGTTTCCTTAATTACACGTTCTAAGTACTCCATTTCTGTAAATCATCGTGTGTAGGTGATCGGTTAAAATCGCCAGCAGAAAATATTGAATTTATTTCTTGATATACCTAGGGTCGAAAATAAATAGTTTTCTTAAAATCAATATGGAATTGTAATTTATTTCAGAAATAGTTACATTTTGTACATTTTATATCAGGAAATAAATGTTTCTATGGACTCACAAAAATATTAGGATCACGATCTCTGTCTATAGAAATGAAGATACAACTATACATAACCTTAATACGCCCAGTTGTCACTTATGGGGCTGAGGCCTGGCCATTGAGAAAGACTGAGGAAAGGAAATTACTGGTTTTTGAAAGGAAAGTTTTAAGGAAGATTTTTGGACCTGTTATGGACAGAGAAACGGGAGAGTGGAAAACGAGAAAAAATGAGGAACTGGAAAGGATGTTCCGGAAAGAAAATATATTAAGCGTAATCAAAAGCCGAAGACTTCAATGGGCTGGACATGCTATGCGAAGCCAGAACCATCTCATAAGGATGACATGGACGAGAACCCAGTAGGCAGGAGACCACTGGGAAGACCACGATTCAGGTGGGAAGATGTGATAAGAAAAGACGTGGAAACACTGAACGAAGGACGGGATTAGAAAACAAGAGCGGTGGATAGGGAAGACTGGAGGATTGGATGTGTGATGGGATGGTCTTGATGGCCGGAAAACCCAAGAAGAAGAAGAAGATTGGTTTTTATTAAAATTCGATTGGTTGTTAAAATATATATTTGAAAATTTCCCACTAGGAAGGTAAAATTTAATTTCCACTAGGAAATTTCCAAAAACACATTGTATATCGCTAGTAGGAAACCCCAAGGTTAATTAAAACAATTGTTTTATTTTATGAAAATGCAGAGCAATATACAACTATACAAACGTAATTTTTAAAATTAGCAACTTGGTAGTTCACATTATTTTTTACTAAACATACTTTATATTCATTATGCGTATTAATTGTACTATATTTTAAAAAGTAAATTAACAGGCTAAAGAGCCAAACTTAATATTAAATTAAAAAACACCAAAGTGTAGTATAACAAGGTATCGTCAGTAAAATTAAACAAAATCGTTTTTTAAGAAAATGTTATAACAGAAAGTTACTATTGCTTCTCAAATATTAAGTTCTTTAGAACTATTTCAATTTGTAAATGGTTTTATGCTATGGTTAGTATCCAATAATTGTTCCGAAACAGGAGATTTGTGTGCTTCTTGCTCAGAATGAAATTGATTTGATTTTAAGGATAATTTTGCTAATACATTTAAAATACCTATACAAAATAAAATATATGTATTTAGATGGTTAATGATGCCTCTTCTTAAGAATAAGAACAATTAAGTATTATCAATATGCATAATATAATAAGATAAAACTTTTACAGCAAAATCTAATGGAATAACTTAGTGCATAAAGTACAAGCACAAAATACAAAATTAATAGAATTACAATTTCAAGTTATTTAAAAAAAATTAAACATAATTGTGTGTGTATTATTCTTTTTCAAATTTGATATTATTTTACCACCTTTATAGGTAGCCTTAGGCCTTTATGCCTTTACTGAATGCAATTAATTTGAACATGTGAGGTCAAACTTGTGTAATTTTCCCTATTCTTTAGTTGATAGATTATCAACATAGTAGGTAAAAAAATAAAATATACTTTCATGGGCCATAATAGGAAGCGGTGTTAACACCGCTGCTCAACCGCCAACTAGATTCTTAAAGGCGCCACTGCTCGGAGGTTAAGTTATTTATTGTGTATTATTACGCAACGTTTTTTAGCTTGCTAATTAATTAAAAAAATTATAATTTAATTATGTAAAAATTTCCTACTAGGTAATTTTAAATAAATCATTGCCAAACGCTAGTTTCCAAATTTAATTAAAACAATTGTTTCAAGTTATTAAAATTTAACGAAGCATATTATATTAAATTTAGGATGAAATATTTACATTTATATTAAAAATAATCAAATTATTGTATACTTTTAAGTATTGTAGAATTCTTATCGAAGAGAAACTGTGGGAGTAAAAACTAATTGACATAATAATATATACACTAAATTAAATTCCAAGAAAAACTTATATAAGGAACCAGATTATCAGAAATTTACTATTTGTGTTTAAAACTTACACACTGTACAACTGTGTAATTTCATCAGCACCAAAAACATGGTTTTTGTATTTCAACAAGTATGTTTAACTAACAAAATTAAATACAATTAATGTTTAGTACTTTATGTAGTTAACCATAACTAATTACAAGACACTGTTACAAGTTGGCATTAATATATTTAAATAAAAATCGTGGAATACTTAATAGTCATTGAAGTGGTTTTTTCACAACAGTATTATACCTAGAGTCTTTCAAAGTACTTATGAAAAAAAAAATATATAAAAAACGAAAAAAAAAAATTTCAACAAGTAAGTTTCACTATCAATTTAATGTTTGAGTGCTTTAAGTAGTTAACTTTTATTACAAAATAATTTTGGCGTTAAATAAGATCTGTTCAGTTAAAAACCTTAATTTGTTTACAGTTACGTGGTTTATTGCCACACATAGTATATCACCAATAGTATTTTAGTATTAAAGTTTAAACTCAATCTGTACCTAACCTGTAAGCAATACTCGACGAAACTCCACCTCTCGAAATTTTAAAATAAAATAACTTAAAAAATAATTATTTAAAGCTGGTGGTTGACCATTACAGAAGTTTAATTTTACATTTTAATTTCAGACATTCAGACATTTTAATTTTATTAAATATAATAATTTTTGTAATTAACAAAATAATCCACTAAGAATGAAAACACTGCCTAATAACATAGAATTTTGTTTCTTTAAGTATTATTCTGTTAATAACTAGATAAAATTCTTTTTAATTTTATTATCGAACACTAAACAATTTCATTAAACTTTAATTAAATAAAACCCACCTAAACATTTAAATTTACAAGCTATTATGTTTTCGGTTCTATTTTAACGTAACATCCATTGATAAATTCCACTGCTATAGTAAAAGATAATTTGAGATCCATCGGCGTAAGGCATTTTTCCGATGGCGAAAACCAATAGGACCTCACAAGAGTAGATATCGTAGTCTTCACTTGAAGCATTGCGTATTTCATTCCAATACAGTTCCTTGAGCCACCACTAAAAGGAACGTACGCAAAAGGATGACGATTGCGACACACGTCAGGTAAGAAGTTGTCAGGATTAAATTGTTCAGGATCCTTATAGTACTTGGGATTCAAATGCAAACATTGAATACAAATCAGAATAATTGCGTCTATAAAATAATAATATTCGATTATTATAACTTCATCACCATTTAGCTACGAAATTTAAAAAACAAATTTTTTTATTCTACCTGTCGGGACAACATATTTCCCAATCATCATTTCGTTTTCTACTTTTCTGGCAATAAGGGGTACAGTTGTATGAAGTCGCATGGTTTCCTTAATTACACGTTCTAAGTATTCCATTTCTGTAAATCATCGTGTGTAGGTGATCGGTTAAAATCGCCAGCAGAAAATATTGAATTTATTTCTTGATATACCTAGGGTCGAAAATAAATAGTTTTCTTAAAATAAATATGGAATTGTAATTTATTTCAGAAAAAGTTACATTTTGTTGAACATCTTGATAATGAGCAAGCATAAATATAATTAATGAATTTGATTTTGCAGTTGATTCATGTCCCGCTTAAACATAAAACACATTTAAACAACGTTATTTAGAAGAATTTCCCTTACAATTTTGGAAATAATGTTTGCTATTATTTTAAATGTAGAATGCTTAATTTTTTAGATGAAAAGCAGTGATTTTTTGGTTTTGAAGAGAATGAGGTGAATTTTTTCCTTACATGTCATTATGAAGAATATTTTGAGAACAACACATGATGTATTAATTGACTTCATTAATAAATAATACATCATTGAATTACCGATGTTTTTAACTAAAGAAAATAGTTATAAAACATTGTTAAAACTTTTTACCGCTATAGAATTTAAATATAATGTTTACCACTTATAACGGTTATAAGTTCCTCCTGTATTTCTTTAGGTGATATTTGTTGTTCGTTTGCTAATAGAATTTCAATTAGAGATTTAGGTTTTTGAGAAATACAATCTGTGTCATAACTCCCAATAATTGTAGTTTTCGCTTTTTCATTGAGTTCGACTTGTTTTTTCTGAATTAAGTCATTTACAAATGTATGCATTAAATGTTGACTATTTCGTTGTTCATGTTTTTTTTGATGACAGTGAAAATAAAGTCGATATTAAAAACTCGAAAGTCTGTATGAAAACATCTGTAATTAAAATATAAAAACAATAATCTTCTTAGCGGATATTATATTCTTAGTCCCGTGTAATGTTCTTATGTTACTACAAAAATGAAGAAAAAAACAATTTTACTTTTGCTACAAGTTCATAACTATTTCGGAAATCATGGTTTTCTTTATTTTGTGAATTGAATTCTTCTCCCCACGCTGTTATTCCAATACTGTCCATCGATGCAAGGTCAAAAAGGCGGCCTATTTCAAGTTCAAAGGGTTTTCCTTTACACTTTTCACTCAATATGTGTGCAAGAACTTTGGATTCATCGTAGAAAGAAGTTATCATTGATTTTAAATTTGAATACTTTAACCATTGAGAAATTATTTTCCTAAATAACGTAGGTTTTATTAATAGAGTATTCATTTTTTTTATTTTTTCTTTCAAAATATTTATAATCATAATATTATAGGTACTATATATAACAATAATTTACCTTTTTTTTTATAGTCATGTACATTATTAGTTGTAAGTACCCCCGTACCCGAGAAAACATCTTCAATTACCGGATAAGGAAAATCCTTTGGAAAACAATTTAAACTATTCATTACTACTTCTATATCTTCGGCGTTGGATATACAAACAATCAGCTTGTTAAACAACCAAAATTTAAATAATGAATGCTCGTACCTTTAACATAATGCGG